AGCCTGGATATCTACTGCAATGCCCTGCGGCATCAGGAAAGGCAGCGGCAGAAAACCTGGCACCAGAAGTGGCAGCACCCATCCCCGGACAGCAAGAACGGCCGGGTGCGGAGGCACCCCCAGCCCCTCTGAGGGGGCAGAGGGAGCCGGGGCCACCCGCGGGTCCCTTCCCCGTCTCTCCAGGGCCCTTCTCGCACGTGGGCATCAGCTCTGAGACACCTATCAGCCTCCCGTGCAGAAACGCCTCGCTGTGACTACCTCAAACCCTGCCAGCCCCCGCTGCCTCTCCGTGCGCCCCACGGGGCACGCCGGGGCCAGGGCACGCAGCTCGTGCCGGCTCTCCCAGACCCAAAGCTATTTACACCCCGCAGAATATTTATTCCCCTTGTTTTCTTCCGGCCCTTAATGATGTTTGTTATCAGCAGCAATAATAGGCACAGAGGACAGAGAAGGGCAACAGCCAGCTCTCGGAAGTGGTTCCCCGACACCCGGCAGCATCCAGCCGTGCCACGAGCTCCGGGTGCTCGCCTGGGTGGCTGCGGAGGTGCCGGCGGAGTCCGAACGCTGCTGGAGGCAGCGGGGCACGGCTGCGAGCCCAGCCCCGGCTCCGGGGCACCTGGGGTTTGCAGAGATGCTTACGCCCAGCCCAGCTCCCATCCATGGCTAAACCACACCACTTTCTAAAATGTTGACGTTTATTTTACCAAAAAGCAAAAAAAAAAAAAAAAAAAAAAAAAAAAAAAGAGAGAAGCACCAGGCAGTTATACCAACTTACAATTTATTATTTTTTTAAAAAATGACATGAAACACAAGTAAAAATAAATACATCATATAAACAACAAATTGTTCAAAGTCTCTGTTCTGGGAGATCAGGCGAGCACATCCCGTTCGACAGAGAGAAGAGGGAAGCACATGATCATGCGTGGGGCCAACCGACCAACCCACCCTGCTAGCGATACTCCTCTTTCCAACCACAAAAAGACAGGCCACAAACTAAGGCGGTAGAAAAAAAGAAAAGAAACAAACAAAAAAGAACCCCAAACCAACAGAAAACCCCAAATGAGACTCAGTGATGGATTCCTTCAGGCTCCCGTGGATCTGCCAGGGACCCCAGCTCCGAGCCGGGTGCCACAAAGCAGCCGTGGGCAGCGGCGGAGGCTGCTCTCCCTCACTCGCGCCGTCGTCCCTTCGAAGGGAGCGCTTGCAAGAAGCCATCATCTCACTGTAATCTAGCTGGACTACATTCCCCTTTTAACCTCTGCCCCCCGCCCCAGCCCTCCCCCCGCCCCCGGTCCTCCCAAACTGGATTAACAAAAGTCATCCCAGAGTGGTGAGAAACACCAGTTATGAAGGTATTTGCTGTACTTGTCCCGGTTGGCCTGGAAGCCACCCACAAACCAACAGTGATTCTCTTGCATTCAGCCATTTGCTGAGATCATTAAGCCAAAATATACATAATTTTTAGTGAAGCCCCTGTGGAAATCCCATCCTTTGCTTGCCGGAACATTTTCTTTCTGTGAGTACCTGCGTCCACCCCACCAACCTCCCAGGCACTCTGCGGGGCCAACGTGCAGCAGATCCAGCCCAACAAGGACCAGGCTGGGCCATGTTGCCCCCACCCCACAGCCCCCCACGATGCCCCAAGAGCCACGCCGGGGGCTGGCGGGGGGGCAATAAGACCACCAAGACCAGAGTGCAGAGCAGCCACAGCCGCTCCCCTCGTGCCAGTGGCATTTTGGCCCAGAGCAGTACCCAGCCTTCGCCTGCCTGTCCCCAAGAGCATAAACCTCCCACCAAAGGGAAGGGCTGAGGGCTGGGTGCCGAGGTGGGGGGCAGCTGGTGGCCACCCCCGAAGCCTCTGCGGCTCTGCCCTGGCCTACGGGACTGTGCTCAAAAAATCTTCCTTAGTGTCCAAAAACCTCAGTTGAGAGTCCTGTGCTGCTGGCCTCAGTGTCACCCACAGCCCCACCGCTAACTGGCAGCTGCTTCCATCCGGTCATTTGGAGACAGAAATTCAGCGGCAAAAGGAAAATTTAACCCGTGCAGGGAAAGCCCCTGGTCCAAGCTCAGGAAAAGCAAGGTTGGACCCTCTGCAGCAGAATCATGGGCTGAAGAGGAGAAAGGTCTGGGGTGGGCAGATGAGGGGGAGAGGGAGTCCCACAGGAGAGGAATTTTAGGGCTCAGACAGGTCCCCCCACTCGGAAAGCCCCTGGATAACCCGCATGCCCTCGTGGCTCCTGGGGGGTGGAGGAAACCCTTCCCACAGCGCTGTGGGAGAGCAGGTGCCTCTGGCCGCCGTGGAGCAGCCCCGGGCACTGCCAGCCCCCCGGGAGCCCCGTGGCCAGGGCGTCACGGCTATCTCTGCAACCGTGTCTCAGCCGAGGCTCTGACGGAGCCCAGAGGACCCGGCCCCTTGTTAAGGGGGTGCCCAGGGCTGGTACATGGGGCAGAGAGGTGACCCCCCACCCCGCCGTGCTCGGGGAGGGCACCGGGGCACCGTGCTGCAGCTGCCCCCAGGCACGGCTGTTCGCCACCAAGGGGGTCGCATCTGGGGGTCACATCTGGGGACAGCCGCATCACGAGACGGCAGCGAGGGGGCTCCAGGCTGCCACGGGCATGCAGGAGCCAGGAGAACCCTCCCACCTCACCCTGGTGCCAGGACGTTAACAGCCAGCCCGCGGCACAAAGCGTGAGCCCTGCGGCAGCCGAGCGCCGGCCGCCTCCAGCTCCTACGGCCGCAGGGCTTGGGCTGTGCCGGGGAGCCCCGGGAGGACACCAGACAGCAGCAGGGGGCTGGCTCGGGAAGCCCCGCTGCTCTCCTGGAGAGGCAAAGAGGCAGAGAAACCAGCACGCGGCCACAGGTACCGCACCCGGAGCCGCAGCGCCAACTGCCCCCCAGCCGAATCTTCAGGCCTTGGCCCAGCACAGAGCCAGAGAAAAGCCTCGTTCCCAGAGGACCTGGGAGGGTCCCTGGGATGAACCCCGCTACCCTGACCCCCACCAGTGAGAAGCAGGGCTGCGGGAGGGCTCTGCTCACGCGCTCTGGCCTCCCACCACGTCTCAACGCTTGCTACTCTGGACAAGGAAAGCCCTTGCCTAGATCCATTCCCCAAATCCACCGGAAAACCAACAGCCTCACAGGGATGCAACGGACATCGGGGCAAGCTCGTCATACAATCAGTGTCACAGGGTTGTGCATGAGGTGGACACACAGAGCACAGGAGGGCATGACTCACAGATGCAGCACTGTCAAGTCTTTGGAGAAACTTGCATGAACACCATCAGTTAATTTGCTTTGTTACTTTTGTGGGGGGGTTTGATTTTTATTTCCATGGTGCATCCAAAGACAAGTTGTCCAGCAGTTTGCTCAGAACCCCTCGGTTTTCAACTCCTAGGATATGTTAAAGAAGAAAGCACTATTTTAATGTTTGTTTTTTTTTAAAAAAAAATAATTAAAATAATTTGCATAGCTAAACTGTTGATCTAAGGCTTCTATGAATGGTGTGGTTATGTTTGACAGACAATGTCCATTAAACAGAGAAAGACACTAGGAAAGCCCCGTAACATTTTTTATTATGTTTTTATAACACATGTGTGCACACCCCCCCCTTTCTCTCTCTCTCGGGAAGGGAGGTCCCCATCTTCCAGCACCCTGTTGATGGAGGATGTCAGGACATCCTGCCCTTTCCTACCCCTAGTTGGTCCCAGCAAACACCAGTGACTGCAGCTTCCACAGCCCGAGAGGTCCCCTACGAGCTACCACCGCTCCAAAGTCCGGGCCACGCTCCTGGGACAGCCCACACAGGCAGAGCCCCCGCGCCTGGGGACACCCAGATGTGACCCGGGGGTTCTCCCTCCTAACGCGGTCACACCCACAGTCACACACCCCCGGGGAGCCCTGGCCCCGAGGCGGGCAGCCAGCGTGGGTGCTGTGGGGGCTAGGGCCAGCCTCTGCACCCGCGGCGGAGCCGAGTGCCGCTCCCCACCCGGGGCAAAGCGCTTCCCCGGCAGGAGTTGTGTCCGCCCCGCTCCGCACGCCTCGCTGCCCTCCTCCTCCCTGGGAACGAGCACTGGAGGCTCCCGCACGTGCTCCTCCACCTGCCCCAACACGACAAGAGGACCCCCGTCCTCCCTCGGGGGGTGCTGCACGGCACCCGGCGCACCTCCAACCTGCTCTGGCACGATCCCCCCCCCCACGGGGCACATCCAGCCAACACGACACGGGCCGGCTGCAGGCCAACCTCCGCAGCTGGCCGGGCTTCTAGGCTACGCTTCGGTCAACCAGGCTGCTTCTCCCCACACAGAGAACCCAACAAGCAACCACTGCATGACGGAGGCCAGCATTTTATTTTTTTTAATAAGGAAATTAATTTAAAAGTAGAAAGAATGAGTCCCCCAAACAATAAATACTACACCTTCATGAAATAAATTAATGTGGAGATTCTGTGCAGGGGGAAGTCGCTCCAATCACAGATTCAACAGCAACCGGCACTGGGTCCAGTGTCCCCTCCCAACCTTCACTGCCTGGTGCTGTTCAGAAGCAGCAGTGAGCCCACCTACCCCTGGATCTGGTGGGCCACGGCGGGGTGAGATGTGGCCTTCACACAGCCTGGCAGGGCCACGGAGCCGGGGAAGTCGCCAGGATTCCCCTCCGACAGCCACTGAGACGCCTGGGATTGCTCCACTCATCTGGCACACAGAGCTGGCGTCAGAACCACCGGACCAACCTACCTCGGACAGGACCCTCCAGAAGGGCCCCGGGGAGCCCCTGCCAGAGCCCTGCCCTCCTTGCTGCAGCAGGAGCCTGCCTGGAGCCCTCGCTCTAGTTTCATGTGAAAATTCATGTGACAAATTGTTTGTGGGGTGTTGTTTCATTTTTTTTTTTTTTTCTTTCTTTTTTTTCCCACCCCCCCCATTTTTTTTTTTTTTACATCATTTCCCCCCTGCCCCAACATACACGACGTAGAAGGCCCCGCCCCCCCCCCCCCCGCTCCCTCCCCAGTAAAAACGCTTCGTCCCCAACCTCTGCTGGAGTTGCCCCTCTGGCCCACGCCTCCCAGAGTGAGAGAAGTTCACAGATAAGGCAGTTCATGTGAGAGGGAGCTCGGCCCTGCCAGCGGTCAAGCCCATGCCTCCAGGCCTGAGAAGGGCACTGACTCGCAACACCAAGCCTCCCCCTTCCAGACAAGACAGAGAACAGAGACAGACAGACAGACAGAGCGTGGAAGGGAGGCACTCATATGGTTTGCATTGCTGCTTCCTTCCTCCCCTGGTTCTCGCTCCCCCCGGCCCTCGCAGGTCCACTCTATCCCCCTCCCATCTCCCAGCCCCTAATACAATTCAGATCCTCGACAGCTAAAAAACAACAAAACAAAATGAAAAGAACAAAACCACCCCCACGCCACACCCTTTGCATCCTTCTCCACCCGCTGCCGTGGCCCAGAGGGGAAATCCTGACTCCCAAAAAGGTCCTGCAACTTTTGCCTCCTGGCGGAGCTGAGACCAAGCAGGAGCTGGGCCCGTTATTTCCCTGTGATCTCTATAACATCGTCGTCTTTGTCCTCGTCATTAGAGCTGCATCCCACCTCTGGGACCTCCTGGGGTTCAAACTGAGGCACCTGGGACCGAAGGAGGCCCCCGGCCGGGTAGCCCGAGTGAGGGGACATGTAGCCAGGGTAGGCAGATGCCATGCTCCTGGGAAGGCTGCTAGGCAAGACAGGGGCTGGGAAAGGAGCAAACATCCTGGGCTCGGGCAGGAGTGACTGCGTGAAGGGAAGCGAGTAATTGGGCAGCACCCCCGTCAGAGAAGGGTTTAGCATGAATGAGGGGACGCTGGCGGTGGCTGAGGTAGCAGCAGAAGAGCTGGCGGTGCCGGCTGTCAGCAGAGGGTCAGTAGTCACAGGGAACACCAGATGAGGGTCTGGGAGTAAATTGGGCAGCTGGTAATAAGAGGAGCCAGTGCCCATGTACAAGGAGTTTCCTGGTTGGGAGGCAAATGGATGGGTTAGGTTGTGGTTTAAAGAGACAGGAGGCATGGCGAACCCACCAGAGACGGGGTACCCGTGTTCGTACGGCTGCACGGACGATGGCAACTGGCGCTTCTTCTGCTGCCTGCGGGCCTGCTCCTCCGGAGCCGATGGCGAGGTTGACTTGCGCTTGTTGCCCCGTAAGTCCAACACCGAGTGGGCATCGACGTGCTGGCTGGTGGCCGGCAGGGCTGAAGACACGGAGGGAGCCGTGCAGTGAATCCCCACGCGCTGCTCGGCTCCGCGGGCCGCCAAGCCGGGCGCGTTGTCCACGCGGGCAGGGTGGCCTGGAGCGGCGTTGGTGCTGGGAGAGCTGTGCCGGGACTCCCGCGCAGCCGCTGCCTCCGCGTACTGCTGCAGTTCGCTGATGATCTCGGGGCTGTCGGGGGATATGGGCCGAGTGAGCTCCTCCGCGCTGGGGAGCTGCGGTGATGAGGCACTGTGTCTGCCATTGCTTGTGGACTCCAGCGAAGAGCTCTGGGAGCCTGAAAACAAGGAGAGGGAGCAGGTGTGAAAGGCAACCTTGGAGAAAAGCCCTGAGGGCCAAGAGGCAACAGTGAAAAGGAAGGTGGGGATATCGTGGGGAGATTGTGGGTGAGTTCTGAACACAGGCATGATGGAAGGTGGGGTAGGAGAACACGTGAGCGAGCCCTGCACAGCACCCACAGGCCCCCACCTGAGGCAGCTGTCCGACGGTCTTCATTGCCCTTTGGCTTCCCAGTGGTCCGGATAGCAAAAATCCGCCCATCGCTGGTCCGGATATACGTCCCTGGAACAGAGGGAAAACAACTTCATTGAGGGTTTCTAGTCTCAACACCAGACCGTGGATCTGCGAGGCTGCTCAGGCAGGAATGGGGCGGCCGTGCAGCATAAGGCCAGCCCACAAATCAACCAGGGAGATCATGGTGGGGCTTCTGCCCCCTTCCTCACTCCTCACTTCCTCCCTTTCAGCTTTCCCGGGTTAGAGCTCACTCCCTCCCAATGTGCTGTCGGTGGGAAATGTGGAACTTCACGCCTGGGACTAAGTTTGCTCTGGGAGCACCAGGAAGTGTTTGGCTATCGCAGTATATGCAGTGGGCGCTGTGAGAATGAGACACCCAGCCACCAAGTTCAACATCTCCTCTCAGAAGCAGGAGCAGCCACACCTGCAATAGCCCTGACGCGTCAGCTACAACAGCACACCCAAAGCACGGGCTGCAACAGAGCAACTACAAAGCCCAGATCTCCTCCCCTTCTTGTTTCTTTTCCTCTCAGGGGACCAATTCATGCTTTTACATCCTCCTCTTTGCTAATTAACATTGGCTAGGACCCTATCCACATCTTACCAAGACAGAGAGCCTTACCTTTTGTCCCTCGGATGATGTGGATGCTCTCACCAGCACTGATTCTTGCCTGTACATCAGTGGATGTATTTGTACCCGGAATCACAATATCTGGCAGTGGGGAAAGAAACAGAACAATGTTTGTGAAATTACACGCCAGCCACAGTCAGGAGCAGGGAGGTGCACCACCAAATCCCTTTGCTTGAAACACAGCCGTCTCTCCTGTGCGCTGTGCTAGAAGCAAGCCCTGGGTTTCTTTCTGAGCAGAGGCAGCAGAGGCTCCAAGGAAGCAAAAGCCACGCTGCTCTGGCACAGCACCTCCCCTATCCCAAACAAGGACAACTGGCGACAGTATTGCAGGCCCTCTCACGGGGAGTTCACACCCAGCAACTCACCAGGCCCACGCCCCTTGCACACCTGCAGGGAAAGTCCTCCAGGTACAGGGGAACCACTCAAAAGAAGAGAAGCAGTATCGGTGGCTCTGCTGCCTGACTGCCCATAGCCCATGTGGACCCTGCTCCTCAAAATCACCACGGGCATCACAACTCAACTCACTGTGAGCATCAGCAACTCACCTGTGGTGGTGACAATCTTCTGCACAAAGACACCGGCTCGCTGTAGATAGTTGATGGGGAAATTGACAGCGGGGTTGGAACTTGAGGTTGATCCTGCGCTGCCCATGGGGACATGCCGGGGCATCATAGGAATGGGGGTGGATTGAACTGGGCGGACACTTGCCACTGGCTTGTCCTCGCCCTTGAGGGCTGGTCGCCTAGTGAGAGAGGAGGAGGGAAAACGCAGTGACCCCACTGACAGGGCTAAGCGTCCTCTGCCCCCTCATTTCAAGTCTACAGCATGGGAAGAGGGGGAAGAGGCAGTACTCACCAGTTCCTCTGGCTAAAGGCAGGGATGCTCGTCAGACTCTGGTCACTGGCTGGGTAATACTGTGCGTAGGACGGCCGGGTGTAGGGGACGGATGCTCGTTTTTCCTCCTCATAGCTCTTCTTGGCTGCTTTCTTCTCTGCCTTGGTCAGCTTGTGCTCCTTCCGGTCGATCAGCAGTGACTCATGCTGAAAAGGCTCCTGCAACCCCACAGCACTGAGGCTTTGACACCAACACACCACAAGAGGGAACCAACATGCCCCAAATGGCAGCCACCTGGTCCCGGCACCAGCACGGTCACCATCCTGGGCTGGAGCGGGGAAGAGGGGAGTTGGGAGGCAAAGCTGGTCATGGCGATGTATGTGTGGGGGCAACGTTGTGGATGTGACCAAGGCTCAGCTTGAAGAGTGACAGAGTCAGCTAAGCCACCACTCACCATCACTAAGCCTACCCAGCCAAGGCCATCGCTTACCATGAGCACACGGCAAAATCCAGGAGCCAAAGGGGCAGGCTAAGAGTGCAAGCACAGAGCCTGCCGAGATGTCACACAGCCACCAGAGCCCCACGGCACCCAGCCACGGGCCCACCCTGCAGCACCACCCTACCAGTGAAACTTCACAACACAAGCAAGTGTTGGTGTTTTAAAGCCATTCCAGGAAGAGAGCTGGCCGCAAGCTGGGATACGCCACTGCCACCTTCCTGCCCAGCACCAAGTTGAAAAAAGTGGTGCCCTACAACCTGCTCCCAAATCTGTTCAGGAGAGCTGTGGCTCTAAATGTGTAGAAGATATTGCAGGGAAGGGCAGGGCTCTTAGGGCCCTCTCTAGAGGACTTTTTACCTACTCCCACCAGCACACCGATGCATCTTTCTTGCCACCGTGTCCCCATCACACAGCCAGATTCCCCCAGATGTCCCGCCTGCGCGGTGCTGTGCCAGCAAGAAGGCAGGTTGGTCTTACCTTGGTGATGAGGTGAGGATACTTGAGACAGGCTAATTGAAGAACAGACTCCTTCATCTTGCTTGGATTGAGGGAGAGCTGAGCGGGGTCGGATTCCTCTTCCACAAAATGCAGCAGGTTCTCCACTTCCCGACGGGTGAAGTTCAACACTGGGTTCAGATCATCAACCACTCGATCTGGAAAAGAGAGGGAATGGAGTGAGCAGAGGAGGGAAGAGATGGGTACTGCTGCCCTTCCCACACTCCTGCCTTAACAGAGCTCCCTCCTTGCAATCTGCACAGTCCCCAGAAGCCTTCTGCAAATGTCAGGATAGGAAGAAAAATCATCAGCCATGTTCACAGCTGAGCCTGTTTGATCAAGTCAGGCTGAAAAATGCCTTGTGCTCCAGACTGCACAGCAATGCAGTGCAGGTCACTGAGTTCCTGGCATGCAGGAACATGAAGCTAGTTACGGATGGTGCCCCATCTCACATCGCAAGGCTGAAAACATACGAGCCCCGGGACAGAACTGCATCCACATCAGTATGTGCCCTCCTGCAAATCCCACCAAAAAGGCTCAAGTTAATCACCAGGTGCTGAAGTTTACAGAACTCCGTTGAGTCAAAAGCTGAGAGAAGCAGCCACAGTCCCTCCCTTAAAAGAGCCTGGAAGCTTTCCTTGGATGTTCCTTCCTGCACACAGGGCAAATGGGAGCACATGGAGAAAACATCTGTATCAGGGACCCTCCTGGAAGCCAAATCAGCTGCCAGGGGACTCCACCTCAAGTGCAAGACACATACTGAGCTGATCACACGGGCTGCTGCCTCTGGAGTTGGGTTTTGAGACAAAGGAGGACAGAGGCAGCAGAAGTCTTTTTGGGTCACCACAACCCTCAGCTGCATGCTCTACGAGAGCAGCTTGACAGCTGGCACAAGCCAGCAGGAAAGATACTTTTGGTACAAGGGCAGGTCAGAACTGGAGTGAATTAATTATTCTTGGCTCCTAAGTAAGCACTGTCAGTCAAAGGTATCCATATATATTTTAATGTTACTGTTTTCCTTCTCTTGCTGCTGGAGAAATGGAGGTGGAGAGCTATTTAATAAGTAATGCCCAGTTTAAGACCAGTAATACCCCAGGCATAGGGGAAAACAGGATGACCACCCCCCAAGTCTTCAGTCTCTTGCAGCAGCTGGAAGAGTAGCAGGGAAGGTAAACAGCACTACATTGGACTGGTAGCACAACCCTGCTGCAGGATGCTGTCTCTACAACCCCTGCAGCTCTCCCATGAATTTCTTATAGGATCTCATGTCACTGCCAACTCATAAACATCAAACGTAGCCCTAGGATAGTGTGTCTGTCACTTCTTTGGCTGTGTGGTTTTCAAACTCAAAAGAAGAAGTTAAGGAAACCACAGAAATAGGACTTAAAGGAGAGAAAGCCAAGAGTGGAGTGCCGTGTCCATCCACACTTACCTGACATGCCCTGCTTGGAGATCTGACGGTCATAGATCTTCTTCTCAAGGGTGTAATCAGAAACCAGTCTGTAAATGTGGCACGGCTTCTTCTGCCCATAGCGGTACACTCGGCACACGGCCTGGGCGTCATGGCATGGGTTCCAAGAAGCATCAAACACCACCACTCTGTTTGCTCCAATGAGGTTGACACCCAAACACCCAGCACTGGAAATTAAAGGCAAACTTAAAATTGCTGCCTTGGCTAATTTTCAAAGCTTCTAGACAGGGACAGCCATCACAGCCAAGAGTCCACGAGGTGTCTAAGGAAAGTTCTGTCCAGTCATACAGGCAACTTCAAACCCATGTTTGGCTTCCAAGACTGCTGCTGAGTTGTTGCAGAGGACAGGCTAAAATCCTACACCCCTAGGGAATTCAGACGCAGATGGCATTATCATCCCATAGCGTCCTGAGGGCATGTTATGAAGGAAGTTAAGAACTGAAACCCCATATGCATACAGAGCATCAGTGGGAGTCCTCCACTGTGCCTTTCTGCTTCAGCCAACTTACCGTGTGGACAAAAGGAAGAGCCAAACAGAGGTGTTGCTGGGGTCATTGAACTGGTTAATCAGTCGTTCCCTTTCTGAGGCAGAGGTGCTGCCATCCAGCCCTGAGAAGGAAATTAAAGACACATTTAAAAGCTCTGTACATTGGGGGGAATTTCATCAGAACAAAACCGCTTCCCAAACACTGAGCTTTGGCACTTGTTCACAACCAATTCTAGATCTTCCTCAAATCCTGCACTCCAGGATCTTAACTGGACCACTCTGTACCTAATTTTCCAAGCCAGGCAGGTACAACAGAGCCAGCCAGGTTGGGATATATTCAACTGAAAGATTGAGTAAAACATTACTCAAGCTTGGCAAGGCCAAGACTGGGAATGCTACAGCATACCTAGTCCATTAAAGCTCCATATTAGGCAAGACAGACAGCATGCAAGAGCAGCAGGCACAAAGGTCTCACATACGCTGGAAGCTCGAGGAACCAGGAGAAAGCAAAATTGTGTAAGCCTTTGGCAAAACCTCATAGACTGGATCTGAGCACAGAGAGTACTGGTCTAAATGAGTGCAAGAGGGTGTCATCTCTCTGTCCCTGGGCAGCAGCTTGCTTCTGGCAGCTCTGCAAAAATCAGGAACACCATACCCACCGCTCTTCCCAGTCCTGGCCTGTAAAGTGGCCACACAAAGCAACAATCCATGCAACAACCCCAGAGCAAGACTTAAAGCTAGGGAAAAGGGGAAGAGGAAATCACAGCCCCAAGCTAGTGAAAGCATTCCACAGTGATTCTGGTTTGGGATGCAAGATCTAGAAAATAGCCAAATAGGGAGCAAAAAGTATCTTTTACAACTTAAATAAGCACTAGTGTGTGAGATGTTAAAGGTGTCTAACACCTGAGTAAGATGTCAAAAAGAGGATTTAGAAATTATCTGTTAGTTGCTATCAATCCAACACCGTCTTCCCAAGCAACTAAAGAACAACCTGAAAGAGATCTCTTCAGAAGAATGCTTCAGAAGAGCATTTTCACACCCAGGGACAACTACAAGAAGATGGTGGGTGACTTTCAAGAATTAGTCTACCACAGAGGACCAAACAGCATCACACCAAAGGAGAAGAAGATTGGCTGCACTCACTGTAATAGTTGATGTTTCGGACCCAGTTGTGAACTCCTCCATCTGAGCCTGGAGGACTCGGCATTGGTCTCTCTGCCAAAAACTCTTCAATGACAGATAATGTGGACAAGCTCTGGCTGCAAAACCAAGATCTCTGTTCAGGAGAAAGCCCCCACAGCAGCAAAAGTGGAGTATCAGAACTCTTCCCAAACCATGACAGTATTGACAGTCATCAAACTCTGTTTGTGGCAGCATACCTCTCACTAGTAAACTTACTAGTGACAGAAGTATAAAATCCATGGAGGAAAACCAGGATCTAATACAACAAGGTAGAAAAGGGGAACTGCCACACCGCTCACCCTGTGTAACAGCCTCCTAGTACCAAGAGAGGTTCAACCACTCAAACATCTAGTGACTGTAGGATCAGCTGTTGTTATTTTGCTTACCTGAAGACCAAGATCTTGTCTCCAAGCTTCACACTTTCCTCAATTAGGTGGAACAGTAACACCATCTTGGGTGAGTTCTCCAAGACTCCCGTCTGGTAATTACACAAGATGTCTTTGGCCTACCGAGAAACGGGAGACTATTACAGGTGGAGTTGTTCATTCCCTGTTTAGTTCAACAATCCTGTCTCAAGGTGAGAGAAATAAGTCATTGCAGAGAGGTTATATGCATCCAGTTAGGTCGAGGTGACAATGTTACTCACAACTACTGCTGCTACCTCCCATTCCAGAAGCTCCAAATGACAAACTTGGAGTATGGATGAATGAGCATCCTCTCAACTTCTCATGACTCTACTCTATCTCAAGACCTTTCCTCCAGCCCACTAGATTTAACACCATCTTATCTAGATTAAACTTCATTCTGGCACCTTTCTTAGAATAACAAAGTCCACAGTCTTTTTGGTCAGATGAAAACAATGGAATAAGAGTGCTGCCTGCAGTCCGGCCTCATGAGAGTCCCAAAACCCCTAACCCAGCATCATGCAGACATGCTTATCAAGATGCTCTGTGGTAGAGAAAACGTAAGAGAAATCCCCAACTCTTAAACAGAAGAGTGTTTTTTTGTTTGCTCTACTTCAGGAAACTGTACTAACAAAAAGAGGTACAGTCTTTCAGAGTAAATATCCAGCCTGTATTTATCATAACTCTCCAAACGAAGAGTTTTCCAGCAATGGTACTCACCCACTCGTACGTAACGACCTGATTTGCTCTCTCCTGAAAAGGGTTGAAGCCAACGCTCTGGAGGAACTTGCTATTGGTAGCTTCTCCAACTGGTGATGCATTACTCTCCGTTTTGACTTTAATTCCCTGAGGCTGGCAGCGGGAATTAGTACTTGCTGTGCCAAGGTCATCCACATCCAAATCCTGCTCATTTGCCAGATTCTCCTTTTGCAGAGCTTCATACAGCACATCTGGATGGTTCCAGATCTGAAGGGGTAAGAAAAGAAAGTGGTTAGGCCTGTGCTCCCCTGCTGCTAGTCAGCGACTGTGGACTGAAAGCTCCCACAGCTCTTCAAAGGAAAGAACTAATACTTCAGTCATCTCCTCACCATCCCCACATGGAACTGTAGGGCACTGCAGAAAAATACCAATTTGAATGCATTAGGCAGTGAAAACAGAAAACACGACTCTACCGTGACACAAGGCATAAACCATCTTAAAGCAAAGCTCTCCTGACTTTAAAACTGTCAAATTCTTTCCTTGAAAACAAAACACAAGGCCATTGTGCAGCCCACACAGCCCAAATGCAGAGGCAGCTGCTTGTTTGCATTGCAGCAGGTACATGGTTAAGGTATCAGCCCAGTACTGGTTCAGCTGATGACTGCAGGCCTCTTGCAGGAATTTGAAAAAGACATTTAACATTCCTGAACCCCAGGTTCTGGAAGAGGGGATAACAGTTCTGCTGGGCCATTGCAGGGCACTCTGGGGATAGATGATGTGCCTGGCCAATCACAGTTTTACCTCTGCTTTGATTCATATTCCTGCCTTTCCCTTACATACTGGAGTATTTCTTTGCATCTCTTGCCAAAACCTACCTTACAACAGACACAGAAAGCTTTGAGTGGGTTCAGGCCCAGCCAGCCACTATTGCCTGCATCTCGGAACCGGTTCATGAACTCCGTATATAGGGCCCGCTGGATCTTTGACAGACGTACCAAAATGACGTGTTCTTCCTTAGATGGCAGCTGAACCTTCAGCACATTGTGGCCCCGCCTGTGGAGAAAATAAAGACATAAATAGAATGAAGGGAATTTCCCAATCTGATCTTTCTGTGGCTGCCTGTAGGGTAAGATTTTGACTTCTTGCCCACCTCATCAAAATCAAAATAAACGTGAGGTCACTCTGGTGCAGTCAGAGGTGTTGGTTGGCAGCTGGCTGAATATGAGCCAGCGCGGTGCTCAGGTGGCAAAAAAAGCCAGTAGCATCCTGGCTTGTGCGGGAAACAGTGTGGCCAGCAGGACTAGGGAAGTGATTGTCCCCCTGCACTCAGAACCGGTGAGACCACACCTTGAATACTGCGTTCAGTTTTGGGCCCCTCACTACAAAACAGACATTGAGGTGCTGGAGCATGTCCAAAGAAGAGCAACGAAGCTGGTGAAGGGTCTGGAGCACAAGTCCTGTGAGGAGCAGCTGAGGGAACTGAGGCTGTTTAGTCTGGAGAAAAAAGAGGCTCGGGAGAGACCTGATCAGTCTCTACAGCTACCTAAAAGGAGGTTGTAGCAAAGGGGGTGTTGGTCTCTTTTCCCAGGTGACAAATGATAGGATAAGAGGAAACTCCTTCAAGTTACATCAGGGGAGATTTAGATTGAATATTAGGAAAAATTTCTTCACTGAAGGGGTTGTCAAACATTGGAAAAGGCTGCCCAAGTGGTTGAGTCACCATCCCTGCAGGTATTTAAAAGATGTGTAGACACAGCGCTTAGGGACATGGTTTAGCAGTGGACTTGGTAGTGTTAGGTTAACGGTTAGACTCAATTAAGAACAGTTAGATCTTAAGTGTCTTTTGCAACCTGAATGATTCTATCATTCTGTAAGGCAGCATGATTAGCTGTACTGCATAAACTCAGCAAATAAGCAGACTAATTGGGGATGAAGGAGCTGCTTGCAGGGACTACACCGTCAAGAACTCCTTGTGGACTCACCGCTGCACAAAGCCTTCCAGCAGGCTATGCAGGACATGACTGCGATACCTCATGAGACGGACATCTTGAGGGGTGCTGTCAATACACTGCCCGTTCAAGATAGGGCGCTCAAACATGTTGCTGAATTCCTGCCGTGAGCCTAGAAAATCAGGTCGGACAAAGTCTACCATGCACCAGTACTCAATGAGGTTGTTCTGGAGTGGGTAGCCAGTCAGCACCACCCGCCGGCGGGAGCGGATGTTCTTCAGGGCCTGCGAAGTGCTGGCATGGCAGTTCTTTATCCTGTGCCCCTCATCACAAATAACCACATCTGGGCCAGGACGAGACAAAGCTTTCTCAATCCCTGAGGACAAGGAACATTAAGTGTTAGTGATGAATAAGACAAAGTTCTAGTTTTAAATGGTCACCAACTTCACAAAAAGAAAAATATGCATAGTTCTGAATGACAGAAAAAGCAGTTTTCACAGGCAGCAGAGAGCAGGTTGATTCAGGAAATAAAATGTGACTAAACACTATCTCCAATTTAGCATAATGTGGTAGTGACCAGATATGACTGTCCCTTGATTTCTGCTCAGTGACCTGCATTGCAGAAAGTTGAGTGTCTCACATCAGACTGGGAAATTTCACACAGACAAATCCCCAGGTTCAGTGTACTGGCTTCCATGCTTACTTGCAGCTATTGCAAGAAATTAAAGACTCAAACAAAGCTCGACAGCCTTCTGCCCCCGAAGACACAATCCTGCCCAGCAAAGTTTGATCATGTCAGGGATGCTAAAAGCAAGTTATAGGTTGTTTGTCTGTGCTGCCAGAGTGGATACCCAGCTGGACAACCAGAATACACACTCACTCACTCTCTCTCAGACTGGCCTCCCACCTTTCAGAAGCTCTTGCTGCCGGTCTTCCTCATCCAAGTCAATAATGACAGGGCCAGCTTGTTTCTTTGTTTTCTTCTTCCTGCCAGTGGCAAAGGACTTCTTCAGTGAAAGGAGACGGTACATCTCATATCCCATCAGCAGCACACCACCTTCTGTCACCCAGTCATTCACCACCTTTGCACGTGCAGCTGTTGTCCTGCAAAACAAACAAACAAACCAACCAACCAAATTAACTGTAAGCTTTCTCTCCAGTTTCTGTTTGAACTGCTGGATTGGAATCTGATGAGAACAAAGACCTGTTCAACTAATTGAAGAACTTTTTTGCATCAGACCAGACAAAGGAATACAATTAAGTTTCTTTAGGAGACAATCTGGTAGAGAGGAAAAGAAAAAAGCCTTTTATGTGCCACAGGTAGCAGGGCTGAGAATGACAAATCCTTACAGGAACTAAGCTGTAAAAGCTTGTCATGTACGCATATCAAACTTGACAGCATCCTTTTTAAAGAGCTGTTGACGAAACTGCCTCTGCAGAAACCATTTTCAGAACAAGTTGCTAATGTGTGTGTGTGGTTGTAATCATCTAGTTGTTTATCCCTTGTCTCTTCTGATGCTACTATCCCTCAATTATTCCTTCCCTGCTAGTGTGCTCAGAATTGGTTCAGATCAAGACACCATCCTCACTCAATCCTCCCAGAGGACACCGTATCCCATCCGATTCTAAACACATGGCTAGAGCAGCATCAGCAGATTCAAAGTACATTCCACCCAGAAGATGAACATCTCAATATATGAACATAGTCGATGAACTGAGAGTTCCCTAGGATCACTGCACTGTCCTGATCCATGCAAGAAAAATGACTCAGAAAGAAGGAGAGGCCATGAGCCAAGAACACACTCCACACCAGGCTGTAACCGCAATCACTGATCTCTCCTTTCTGGACAAGGAGACTTTGTATAACTTGCCAGAATCTCTCAAGGACAATACAATTCACAGAAAGTCACAGTGTCAGGCAAAGTAATTCCTAAGTGCATGAAGAATCTCAGGGAAAAAAAAAAAAAAAACAACTTGCATTTGAAATACAAGAGACATGTGGTATAGGGGGCACATGCCTCAGGAATCCCAGGACTCTGACAGGACTGGCTGTGTACCACCAGAAACAAACCACAGCTCTTCTGCTCCACTCTGTGGAAGTAACTGTCTCTGGAACTGGGTTCCTGATCTTAGCATACGTGGGAGAACATAAAGGTGCATCAGCAGTGTGAGAAGGAAGAACAAGATATAAATATTGAATGAAAGAGACAGTAAACCTCTCACAGATACCAAAATCCTCCCCCTCAAGATGGCATTCACAACAAACGCAGTGGGAAAGATCTGGGAGTCAAGGGCACAGAATTAGCCCAAACTAAACAGTCTGCAACAGCAGTTCTGATAACAGTACCATAAGATGCAGTCCAAGAACTCAAAAGGGCTTCTGCTGGCACCTACTTGTGTTCATCATTCAGGATGTGGACTTTGAAGGTACGGGGCTGGACCTCTTTGGAGTTATAATCAGCAGGAAGGTTTTCAGGTGCTGGGAGCCACATGTTGAATTCTGCTAGCCAGTTTTGGAGCGTATTCACCTGAAAAAGTTAGCCATGGAAGGATTAAAAACTCCAGTTGAGTCACTCCTGATTTTATGAGCAAAAATAAGAACAGAGAATGACACCCAGCTGTGCCCAGACAGAAGGAGCAGACTACAGCATGCAAACTCAGGAACACAGAGAATGAAAGAGGTAGAAGAGCAGCGAGGGTATGATAGAGCTTGATGTGAGATGGGACGTAAATCAACCTTCTCTACACAAAGAAAAAAGCAGTGCAAGGAAGCCCCTCAGCCAGCCCCTCACATGGCTACTTACAGGTACAATAGCAAGAACAGTCTTTGCCTCCGTGTGCCGAAAAAGTACATCCAAGAAAGAGATGACCTGTATGGTCTTGCCCAGGCCCATGCTATGTGCTAAAATACACCCAAACCCACTGCTGGTTTTAAATCTCTCCAAGGACTCGACCAAGTTGTCATACAGGAATCGGATGCCACCAATCTAGACAGAAAAGTAGAAACGGTATTAGAATGGTAGGGGGAAAAAAAAAAAAAACAACAAAATGGGTATGTATTTACAGAGGGGCAAGCACATTAGCATTGCATAAACCATGAAAATAAAATATAATGGGCATCTTTCAAGTTCACTACAGTACTCTAACAGAGGGAAGGCTCAGAAAGTCAATATTTTTAGATACTTATAAAACTTCCTGAGAATATGACAATAAATCAAAAGTGATTTGTAGACAGAATCGGAATTGGGGTTGATTAGTTTGTTTTTATAAATATAATATTTTTAAAATGTTCGTCTAAATATACAAAAGTCTGATGATAACAATAGCCAAAGTTATACATAGCCCCGGCCTTCCTTTAATTTGTTCTTATCATTTGACTGTCCACAACAGCCACCACCACAACCAGGCTGGTCAGAGATCACCAAAGAAGTTCTGCTGAGATTGTAAGACAGGTTTGCCTGAATTCATTGCATTTTCAAGGCTAATAAAGCCCACCTGATGAGGTTTTACTGCATGCGCAAGCTGGGGAGCCAGGAAAATGTCCTCCTCATTTGGTGGATGATTGATGTTGACAATGACTTGCCCCAGAGCATCCGACTGATTTAAGGCATCATTCACATGAGAGCCACTGCTCTCTTCACTGCCATCCTCCTCCCCTTCATTGCCAGAGTCACTGCTGTCCACAATTTGGAGGGCATCATCTTCTCCTGAACTCAGTTCAATCACTTCTGTAAAGTAACCAAAACAGGAGAGAATAAGGGTAAAGGTTAACTTGACATCAGAGTTTATCACGCATGGAAAAAGAATGTATCAGGAAGATAAGGCTACCATCAGAATTAGTCAGTGTGGAATTGCAAAAGATGGTAGCCTTATTTTCCTGATACATCTAGTGACCTATTCTGAACAAGCAGGCCCGAGAGGGGCACACACTAGGCCCCTCAGACCAGCACATAAAAGCATAAGCTTTCCCATGTTTCAGAGAACATCAGTTTGGGCTGATTCAAACAGAACACGAGACAGTTTCTGTAAGTGTTTTATGTTCTCCTCCATATGTTCTCGTAATTCCCAAACCTAGATATGCATTTTATCTGTTGATACAATGTCTAAGGACCGCCAATGAAATCAGAAGGAAGTACTCTACCGGAGTGGTATAAAAGAGTCAGGTTAGATCCATCTGAAATCTAACAAAAAGCACTTTCAGTTGCAGATCTGAATACTTAGATGCTCCTTTTATAAACAGCAGATCATACCACATCTCACGTAAGTATTCTTCAGCAGAGCACTTAGAAAAATTAAGTGCATTTATAAAGCAGAAATAAACATTAGTTCACAAGAGTGCCTGATAAGCCATTTTATAAATGTCAGTTTAGGACTCAAAGGCCAGAACTGACCATATATTTGGAAACCAATAGGTCTACAAAAATCTGAAGTGATTCACTACTTAGAGCATCTGACTAGATGAACACGGGAGACTTGGGGCTAAATAAACAGCATATTGTGAGAAGACCAGGCTGAGGCAATTGGTCACTTACCATCTTTAATGCTATTTTTTCCTTTAGCATCATCTTCACTGCCACTGCTGGTACTATCTAGGCAGATCACTTCCTCAGCCAGGACCTGAGGGGGGAGCTGGGTAGCCTCTGCTGTTCTGAAAACGATGTCCTCTATAAACATAAATTACAGACAATAAGTAATTCATAATAATGGGGGAAGAGACAAAACTGTTCAGAAACCAGACAGTATTTCCTTCCACTTTTGCTCCAATAACTTAGTCCTGGAATTTTCCATAAAAGACTCTCACTGTCTACAATACTGCTATGACTCAGCTTCCTGGGTCACAATCTCCTCCCTTCTCAATATGCCAAAACAATAGCCCATTGCTGATGGCACCCTCTCTACTGCATGCCCTGGCTGGGGCACATTGACCATGCAATATGCTAAAGTCCCCCTTTTTTTTTTTTTTTTTTTTTTTTTTTTTTATCTCAGAAGTAAAAGCTGTTTTTCATCCAGCAGAGAAAGTACCAATTGCTAAAGGGATGATAACTGTCTTTTGTTTGTAGGGACACTGTAATAATTATATCCCACATAACATAAACAATGTTTGCTGATCAAGACCATTTGTTTATATGTTTAAGTATTGCCATGTGGGGAGAAAGGCTAGCTAACAGGGCCAAATAAACACCGCTGCAGTGACTCAGCAACAACGTTCTTCTGGGGCTGCAACCTGCTCTGCAACAGTTGAAGTGTTTTAAATAGCTCTTATTCCTTTCCCCCCACGTAAAAATGTTTTGAACACTTGTAGTTAAGGAAGAATATACATTTTCTCAAGAGGCAAAGTCAGCTCAAGAAGTCCTTACTCTCAACAACTTTCAATTGCACTCCCCTGCCTTTCACACCCGTCTGAGAGGCTGTGTTATAAACTACATCAGTGAAATGATCCAGGTTAGAAGACAATGCAAGATGAGATATTGACTGGAAGATAAGTGTGATGCTTAACCATTTATACTGCCTGCTATTTCACTGCTTGCTGAAACACACAAGAAAGGACAAGGTTACATCATGAATATATGTGCACCCAGCCTATTGTTCCACTATCCCTAGTGCCAGACCCATGCATTACCAGACCATTCATAGTACAAATATGATCCAGACCAAGGAGATGGCATTTCTGTCAAGTCCATTGGTTTAAGTCTCCATACCAGTTAGAAAGACAAGAAACACCTGTTCCAGTGTCCCACTTATACACAGTTAACTTGTCAAAATATCCTCAACAAAAGTTACCTGGCACCTTTCAGCATACAGACACAGCACCTTGATTCAGAACTAGCTCAGAAGTGGCACTGACTACACAGAACTAAAATGGTTTGGAACTGCCGTTTCAAGAATTTATACTTGAAAGTCTGAGTGCAGCACAGAATTACACAACGGTTTGGGTTGGAAGGGACCTTTAAAGCTTATCTAGTCCAACCACCCTGCCATGAGCAGGGATATCTTCAACTACATCAGATTGCCCAAAGTCTCATCCAACCTGACCTTGAATGTTTCCAGGGATGGGGCATCTACCACCTCTCTGGGCAACCTGTGCCAGTGGTTCACCACCTTCATCATACAAAATTTCTTCATTATATCTAGTCTGAATCTAACTTCTTTTAGTTTAAAACCATTACCCCTTGTCCTATTATGGACAACCATGGCGCTACTACCTTCTTCATTCAGCTTCTATCCTTAAAAATCTTGCTTTGAGTGACATCTCCCACCACTTACCAGGAAGAAACTCTAGGGGTACAGTTGGTATAGTGGCTGGATAATCCTTCCGCTGCTGCTCTAGCCGTTTCCTTCTCTCCAACTCTTCCTGCTGGGCTGCTTTTGTCACGGCTTCTAGCTGGTCCTCACGCAAGAGCTTTCTGAATACCGGAGCAAAGAAAGAAACATGATTTGGTTACACTCAGACAATTTCTTCCAAAAACATGAATGGCTGTACAGCTGGCTCAAAAGATGATCAATAAGCTCCAGGTAGTCTGTCAGCTACACAGACTAGGAACATCATAGTCATAAGCTATAGACAAATTCTACAGCTATTTCAAGACTGCACTTCCCAACTACAGCTAACACGACTATTAGTCAAGGAAAAGACAAAAGTTTGACAGAAGCAAAATAATGAAAGAAGGAAGAATGTAGGTGGGTAAGTATATACTTGAACTAGGTTATCACAGACTAGTTCTATCCAGAAGGATGTTATTTATTGCTATGAAGTTTATAAACAGAAAATGCACAAAATCATGTAAAGAAGATATATGCAAAGAAAAGGCATCAATTCTTCCCCCACAAAAAGTCATCTCCCTGATTCTCCTCTGTCATAGTATTTTCAGGAACTAGGACGTCTAATGGCTTTGACAATTGTTTCAACAGATGCTCTCAAAGCACCTTACCTTTACAGGTAATTTTAATTACTTCCAAAAGCTGCTTTCCCCCTGCTTCAGTTTCACACATGGAGCCCTGGAAACGAAGGCTCTTTTGCCAGAGGAGAGATGCAGTACAAGCAGTGGTAAAATCCAGCTCCCTCAAACTAGCCTTTAAATCTACCCAGGCCCACGCTGCAGGGACATCTCCTCCATCCTAATAAAGTCAGTTTCCAAGGACTATTCAGTGCTCATTCCTTTAGCTTTAAGAAAATTAATTTGCACAAGCTTAAATATGAACCAAAGACCATGAGCACTTTACATACAGGGCAAAAGAGCTACTTGCTGCCACAAGAGTTCCTGCACCATTATGATTCCTCTGAGCATTTTAGATCCCCTTGAACAAAATTTCATAGTGAATTACCACCTCACAACCTGTCCCAGAATATGTGGTGACACACACAATTACTGCTTTATAAAATCCATATGAAATTGATTTCCAGTATTTCAGTCACCAGTCATAGCATCAGCACTCCTGCCAACAAGTACCCAGAATAGTAGAAGGAAGGACTATATTTTAGTCTGTTTCCAATAGGATGCCCATCAGCAGGTATCTGAAACTGGACGTTTACCTAATGGTGGTACTATTTTTCAGTTACACATCTTAAAATCCAGCAGCAAATACACCATTTTTGCAACTTATTCCATAACCAAATATTCGCTCCTCTGAAATACCAAACAAGTCTGCACCCACATGCAGTACTCCAGTCTGAGATCATATTACTCCCACTGGTGAAATCCTGAGGTTTTGGAAAAGAAAAAGCCATCTGGTTTGCCAACAGTGGCAAAATGTAGCTCAGAAGTAAAGTCCAGAGATTCCATTTTTACCTAAAGGGTTATACAGGACTCTAGCTTTTTCTGTCCTGCTGCTGCTTACCTTATGTTCCTCCGCATGTGAGATGGTTTCTGAGCCCTCTTCTTTTTGGTGTCCTCAGAGGCCAGGCTCTTGTGCTGGTTCTGCAAGAGTCGCTCTGCCCGCTCACTCTGAGATGAGGTAGTTGAAGTAGAGCGCTGCCATTCTCCATCCTGCTCCGCATGTTCAACATGGTCACCACTGAACACAGCTTCCTGGGGTTGGTCTGAAAAGACGCGGAGGTAATGACATGAGAACAACCGTGCCAGGCTGGCAGCTGGCTTTAATATGAACATTCATTACTATTTGATCTGAATGGGAACCAACAATCCCTATTCTCACTCGTTTGCAAGCATGTTTCTCTGAGGATCAAAACTGGGGTCCTTTCCAACAGCCACCACTCAAAGAGTGTTAAAAAGTTTTACAGTGAAGGGTCTGTTCCCCATGAAAGCCAAGACTAACACCACTCAACACAGCCCAAAAGTGTCCTGACAAGAAAACAAGGCAAAATTATTTCAGTTCACGTAGAGCACTTGCTGCCTCAAGGGGCCTGTTTTCCTACAGGGGCCCAATGAGCTCCGATTAAAACAAGGAACACGAATCTCTTTCTTTGTTTCACAGCATTCAAGTGGGGCATAAATTTCCATTTATATGACACATGTGTAACCATCTTCCAAGTTAACAGAACATACCACGCAAGAGGTTATCTGGTTCAAACACTGGGTCATGGCTTAGCAGGTAGCTCAGAGGTTTCAGCACCAGGCTGCACTCTCATTATTTAAATGGTAACTTCTGGCAAGCTTTTTTTTTTTTTTTTTTTTTTAAGAAAAGTGACAATACTCTTTCCACATTATAAATCATACACTCTCCTTTCTCTCTGCACCCTCCTATTTTCAGACTTCCATTAGTGGCTGATTTCAGTCTTAGAGCACTATGTGAAATGACACCTTGTTCTATGTGACATTTTGCTCTTCAACAGGCTGCCAGTGACCAAGCTAATGCTTGCAGAGCACAGAAAGGAAATGTTTCTGTTCAAAAGCTTCCCTTGAAGTAAACTGTTTCTGACAAGCCTTGTAATAGCTTCTTTGAAGCATCTTGTTCCCCTGTGTCAGGCAAAGAGATATCCTGAAACTCATAATGAGCTTTCTTGCTTATACTGTGTGTCTAAGCTAATGACTGAACTGAAATGATACTTAGACAGAACTTTGAAGGAAAGAAGACATCAGTGCAGAAAAATGTGGCAGATGAAGTAATACAGAATGAACAAGCATGGCATTGTGACTCCGTGGGATCTGGAGGCAAAGAGTATCCCTTCTCAAAAAGCTGGGAGCTTAAATGAAGGATGGTTCAGTACAGCATGTTGCATATACAGGCACCTCCACAGCTGCCACATTAGTATACCTATTAAATTAACCTTACCACTAGTATCACCTCTTGAAATCAAGATGACAAGAACTAGATTCACACCTTGGTCAGAAGCACCAACGCTGCAAGCTTCCTCTCCAGATATCCCACCAGATCTGTCCCAGAATTTGCTCAAAGTCTCAGAATCCACAGACTTCAGGGCTCACCCCACTATGGATCAGTATCAGCAGAGCAGCTCAAACATTTCTGTGAACATCAGTCCCAGAAAGTCCTACGTGTACTGGAAAAATGCGTATCCACAACTTAAAGGGTGAAACAGATCTCACGATGAATACAAGAAAGAGTTAGGCTGCATGTGAAGATGAAGGCAAATGGGTTTGCTGCTACAGTCACGGTAGTTCTCCTACCACAGCCAAGGTCCTGGAGCCGTGTCCTCCCACCATGCCTCCTTACACTTACAAGCTCAGACATCGGGCATCACATTCACTTGCAGACAGGGAACTGTGCTGGGAATAAACCCAGTTTCCCAGGCTTCCCAGACAACAGCTCTGCTGTTTGAGCTACAGACACATTTCAGTCACATTACCTGCAATTTTTCAGCACTGTTTCCTTCCCCCCACCCCTCTTGACTCCTGGTTATATAACTAGATCAAAAGATTGGATGAAATAGGGCAAAGGGAAGCAGGGAGGCTGCACACGTGATCACATTCTCTGGGATGAGTCATTAAAGCAGTGACTATCCCGGAGACAAACACTGCCATGGTTACACTGCTGCCATCTCACCCTGGGCCCAGGGGACCTTGACAAGACATCAGGGAGCACAGAGTCACGCTTGTTTGGAAGAGGAAGCACTTCTCCCTCCACATCCCAGCAGTTACCCATGTCACCTCCTTCGACAGCGACTCTGCCACCTGCACCGTGCTGGGAAAGGGCGCCTTCAGGCCAAGGGTGATGCTAACAAAATCCCAAGGCTCAGAAGCCCGAAGGTGAGGTCGTTACGTCTCCTCTGTATGTTTTCATATTTGTTGTGCAATCCCCACGTAGACTCATTCCACCACTGCATTTTACCTTTTGTTTCCTCTTATTCATATGTAATACAAGCTCTGGTGAAACCTACACACAGCTGATCAGACAGTTTTTTCAAAAATATAATTCTCATCTGACCAGGAGCCTGAAGATCCAAATCTGATGATAAATCTGGTCCCACACTGAGTAGAGGCCCTCATCCACCACAGCCATGTCTGCTCAGGCTGGTGTTTGTCCTGCCAATACAAGTTCTGAGGTGAGGAACACAATCTGTGCTTCAAGCCCACATTCCTGACACATACGCATCTAGATACCAAGATCTCTTCCACACTAGCGACAGTACAAAACATCACACTGATTCAGCTGCAGTGGGATTCAGCGGACAGCCGGCTTCCCAAGGCTGGCTCCATCCTTGCGACTACAATGAATAAAGCTGCTTTTCACAGAGCTTAGCTAACACAATGGTAAAATCACGAGTCTAACCATGCAACATCTCCCATCACACCTGTGACATGAGCTGGCAGTTACTAGCAGAAATTGTTTTGTATTAAACTCTTGATTGAGTACACAGCCTAAATCTTACCACATATAAAAAGCAAGGCTTTCCACTGCAGCCATGTGGCTGTGCTCCAGCACAGTGAGCTTCAAGCTGTGTAACTGGGACCCACACTGGGACAGAAATGCATTAAGAAACAATAACTTAATGACTACACACACAAAAACCTATTTTGTATAAGAACAGGTTTAGCCTTTGGGTTGGAGGGAGTGTGGGAACAGCCCTGTTGAACAGGTCCCATCAGGTAATCAATGGAATAATTCCTGCCCCAATTTTGCCAAGCCTACATCTACAACAGAAATGCAATTATGGTTTTGTAACAGGAGCTCAACACGCTACTCTGACATGGCTATACAAGTAGCTTTTTACACAAGACAAAAATTCATCAGCCATGTTTGCATGTTGACAACTGCCTGATCACGCTTAAGCTGCTAGTGCACTCTAGGAAGACCTGGGCAGTTATCCACGTTGCCTTAGTGAGAAAAACATTGCCACCCAGCACAGCCTTGCACAAGGAGATCAGCCACATATGCCCAAGCACAGATGGGTGAAAGAGAAGGCCCAAGTCCACTCAGAAGAAGACAGCCACGAGTCAGTCGCGGTCACTGATGAGGATGTAAACCCATCCCATGCTTACACACTGTGGACACTGGGAGTCAGCTGGAACACCAACCACTGGGTTCACACCAGCTCTGTTGCATGTTTTGCACTGGGCTGACCAGAATAGGCACCAGATCCAGAAAGTGGGTTTCCTGAGGGTAGTGATGATTGCATGGATGCAGACAGTGAGCTTGTCAAGCAGCTGCTCCTTCAGGTGGGTTACAGCTCTCCATCTGAGGGGTCCCCAAGCAGTTCCCACTGTTCCCCAGTTACAGATACCTGCACGCACCCAGGCACTCTCCTGCAAGATACCTTGAGTGCCAAGAGGGGCATGACTATCCTTTTTCATGCACTTTTGGAGTTTGAAATGTGCCTGCACTATCAAAACCCAATAGACCTGATTACAGCATGGCTCTGGTTTGTGCTGCAGACCAGGGGTTGACAGTTTTCTTTGCTCAATAAGCAGCAGCAACCACTGCCCCCAGCCGTACATACAAGCAGGGGGAGGTGTTTGGCTTCTCGACCAACACTTGCGAATCACAGTTTAGAGATCTCTGTAAGGAAGAGTCGTGACTGCTCTATATGACTCTGCTTCAGATGCTCCCTATGTGGTGTGATTGCCAGAGCTGTCCTGAACACCACACACAGGTGTGACTCATGATGCATAACACAGCAAGAGATTTGTCCTACAGTCAGGCACTTCCTGTTGCACCCAAGCTTATAAAACTCACCTCACCACCTCCTTGCAGAATACTCTCAAACTTCCCTTAAACCAGCAAACAATACAGCCTGAAGAATATTCTCTAGCATCTTCAATTCAGCAGTGAATCGCTCTCAACATACACAGCCTGCTCTGCAAAGAGGCTCAGGTTGCTGTGCAGTGTCATGAAGCAGCAGGTACATTTTTTTGAGGTACGAGATTTCTGAAACTAACACGGTCTTCTAACACTGAGATGCGTGAGAAACACTGCCGTAGCTGGATCCAATCTCCACGCTCCAAGGCAATAAAACTCAGTAAGTCCAAGTGTCTGTGCACACACAAGTAAACATCCACAGCTCGGCTCTAGCAATGGTCCAACACTCCAAAGAGTACAGAAATCGCCATTCAGGACAAGACCCAAGTGTCCCCTAGATGAGGCTGCTGCACAAGAAGGTCTGAGAGACCTCTCAGAGGACAAAACACTGCGTAAGATGGTCACTTTCCTGCCTCCTCAGCTACCAGCTAGCTAACGCAGCTAGCTAGAGGTACAGCCTCTTCCTGGGAAGCTAACTTCTCTGGCCAGAATAACTCCAATGACTCCAGGGAAGGCATACCACTGAAAACCAGACACTTGTTTATTTCTAAAACCATTTAATTACAGAAACACAGGATACCAAATAGCACTATTCACTACTTTGCTGAGTCTTTGGGCATTGTTTCCTACTCTAAGGACAGGGATGTGTATGTGTGGTGAGGAAGGTAGCTGCATGCGGAGCAGTGAGGAGTTAATTCTTGATTTGGAAGCTCTCTTTTGTCCTGCACAAAGAACAAGGAGCAGATGAATATTACTGCAGATGTTCTGGGAACTTCCATGGAGTTTGTGGGCAATAGCTTGTCAGAGACTAGCTAGTACTAGCTAGTACTACTAGAGCCGGTACTGAGCTGTCAAAGCAAGAATGGGAGGAGCACTGAGGGATGG